GCGGCGGCGGCGGCGGCGGCGGCGGAGGAGGAGGAGGAGGAGGAGGAGGAGGAGGAGGCGGAGGAGGAGGAGGAGGAGGAGGAGGTGCGGCCACCTCGCCGCGGGAGGAAACAGCGTGCGTGGCCAAGCAGACAGGCTCGGATGGCCCCTCCGCGCCTGGGGGAGCCCCGCCGCCGCCCGGGCCCCCCCGCCAGGGAGCGCTACCCCGCGGCCAGCGGCGCCCGCGCGCCCGGCGCCCGCGCCCCCAGCAGCAGCGGCAGCGCCGACACGGCGCGCGGCGGCCGCCGCGCCGGGCAGGATCTCCGCCAGTGGCCTCGGGGAGTGTCGGGGGCAAGGATCGGGGGGGGGAGGGGCACAGGGGGGGAGGCATCGACCCCCAAATCGTCCACTGATCGCCGATGGGGGTCTGATAGCCCCAACCCGCTCAGGAGGGTGCGGATTCATTATCGGGGATCGGCGATGTGTCGCCGATCTATCGGCGATGTGTCGCCGATTCCAGGTCGATGCACCCCCCCTATGCCAGTCCCCCCTCTATCCCTCAGGGTGGGAAGAAAGCAGGTGATCGCAGACACGGATCCCGGGGCGTCCTGGGGCTTCGGGGTTGGGTTTCTTGTGGGGGATTTCTTGTGGCCGAGCCCCTGCTGCGCTCGGTCTGCACCGCAGCCGGCGTGTGCTGCCCCCCCCTGGGGCGGCGGTGGACGGCGCCTGGTGGCCCGCGCGCCCCGCTCCTGCAGGGGGCGGTGCGTATAACGAGGGCGGCGCGGTGGGGGTGCGGCCCGAGGGCGGGGGGGAGGAGAGGAGGAGGAGGAGGAGGAGGAGGAGGAGGAGGAGGAGGAGGAGGAGGAGGAGGAGGAGGAGGAGGAGGACCATTCGAACCACTTGACCACGCACAGTCGTGCCGGGGAGAAGGAGAGGGAGAGGAAGGCAGGACCCCGTGCGGAGGTGCTTCTGGGTGCAGGCGGAACCCCGCCTCACCGCCACACCCCCGCACCGCTACTGGCCAGTTTGCCCTCCGCAGGAGGACCAACTGCCCAGCAGCGGCGGACGGTCCACGGTCCCCTCCCTGGGGCCCTGCGGCCCTCGTCGTACGCTCTCGCCAGGCATCCGAGGTCTCGCGCATCGAGGGCTGCCTGCAGGGCCCTCGGTACCCCTTCTCTACGGGGGTACTTGCCCTCCTCGATGCGGCTTGTATTCTCTCGGCCCTTCCTGGACATGCCCTCACACTCGGCCGCCAAGTGGTGCCCATCCACCGTAGCATACTCACCACTGGTGGTGCAAAAACTCATGAGGAACCGCTCCCACCTCCGGACAGTGTGGGAGGGGTGCACTTCCCGCCCCGCCGCCAACCCACCGCCTCCCGCCCCCACCGAACAGACAGGGAGGCCACGGCACTGGGTCTTGGGGTCTTGGCGGCCTCGATGAGGCGAGAAGCAGGCACCACAATATTGCACACGCTGCACCTCCATGCGCCTTCGCTCAGCTCGAAACAATGGCTGGAGCCCTGCAGCGCGAGCTTCCTCGACGGGGGCGCTCTCCGTTGGACCGAGGCCCGAACCCCACTCCATGGGTCGGCCTCTGACGCCAGGGCCAGTGCGCGCCTCGCGCGCGCTCGAACCACGGCGCCGATCGCATCCCAGTGGTCCGTCTCAGGCTCGCCCCCTTCCACCGACACCGCCCACCCTCTCCCCGCCGCAGCCCCCGCCTCTTCATCAGCCAGGGCGATTAGGTAGGGATCGATCGGTTCGCTAGGAGAGGTGGCTTCGTCCATGTGAGAGGGGATCCACTTACGGTTCACCTCTGTCGACCGAGACTGGAAGGCCACCCGAATTCGAGACCACAAATCCTGGTTGGCTCCGTTTTTCTGGATCTGCTGACCCCGCCCCCAAGTTCTCATGAGGGGCTCGTGGTCAGTCATGAACAGAAAACGCATGGGGACATGTTCTAACGCGATGGCGAACGCGAGCAGCTCAGAACGAGGGACCGTTTGCCGCTGGCCCCCGGCTGGGGTCGATAACCCCCACGCCAATCTCCAGTCCCTTTGGCCGTCAGGCTGCATGGCGATCACCGCAGTGCCACACCTGCGCCTACGTGGATCCGCACTGTGGGTCCCCCCCGATCCGTCTCCGAAAACCACCACACACCCGAACGTGGTGTGCGGCTCAACCTCGGAAATCGGGAGCGGCCCCAAGGGCCGAACATTTTCTTCAGGAGAAAACGAGAGATGGGTGTAGCTCTTAGGCGGCACGCCTCTAAGCCACATCACTGGACAACTTTCCCACTGCGCCTGAGCCTGCTGCCTAATACACTCGCTCTTCTCGAATTCTTCAAAACCGACATTGCACGGGCACTCCCAAACTCGGTGAAAGAGAATCTCTGTGCCCTGGTGGCGCAGTGGGCACAACATGTCAACCTCGTATCCTAGAGCCGCCTGCCTTTCTCGAGTGAACTGTTTGCTTGAGACTGCAGCATTCTGGAGCCCTACCAGATCGTACGCTTCCTTAGCGAGAAACTTGCGAATTTCGCGACCAGCCAAGAGCACATCCCCGCCCTCAAGCTCCAGCCCCTACCCCCGTAATGAGAAGCAGCCTAGATCCAAAACAGGGACGACAAGTCCTGGACCAGGTCACTGAGCAGCTCGGTAAAATCGGCGTCCCCTTGCTCGAACCCCTCATCGCTCGCACAAGGCAGCCTCCAAACCTCGCTCCCACTCGCGGTCGGGCGGCGCCAAGAGTGAGGAGGAGGAGAAGGAGGAGGAGGAGGAGGAGGAGGAGGAGAAGCGAGAGGAGGAGGAGGAGGAGGAGGAGGAGGAGGAGGGGGAGGAGGAGGAGGATGAGGATGAGGAGGAGGAGGAGGAGGAGGAGGAGGAGGAGGAGGAGGAGGAGGAGGAGAAGAAGGATGCGATGAGTGTCAAGTCGGGCATGTCAGTGCGATCGCAAACATAGATCAAGGGGGCGTGGATTAGCGACGGGGCCCGCTTCCATGGGAAATCGCGGATTTCCGCCGCCGAGCGGGGTGGCACCGGCCGCATGTTGGGGAGGGCACCTCCCCCGACCCATGGACTTGGCGACCGCGCGCCAAATCCATAGATCGCTAGTCGATGTTTGCGCGCCCTCGAAGAAAGTGGTAATAATGGTCGGACCGAGGTATAGAATTGAGGTCGGTTCTGGGAGGGTGCCTTACATCCCCCCTCGAAATCAGACGCAAGTTCTTCCCGCGACGCGGCGGCGCCCCAGGACCTCAAGATTTCCGCGTTCGCGCCGAAACTGGTGACTGCAAGCACGAACATCAGACCCCGTGGGCCGAGTTTCGCGCGTCGATCAGCACAACAAAACTTGCGTGTGTTTCGAGGAGGGTTGTAGTGTTCTTCGTGCCTGTGGGATGTGCCTCCCGGGGGAGGATACCCCCAGGCATCTTATTGCTTGGGGAGCTTTGGCCGGCGGCGGGTTTCAGGTTCTTGAAGGGCTGTCCTTCTGTCCTTGGTCCGGCCGCACCGCTGCCCGCCCTGGGGAGAGCCTTCGCCGCCACGGCCGGACTCTCCTCGGAGGTCTGGTCAGAGGGCGCCCCCGGCGGGATTCCTGGGAGCGTATAGCCTCAGGATGTTCAAGCCTACTGTAGCCTTGATCGCCAGAAAGAATGTCGAGCGCCAAGAAAGTACCCAAAACTTGAGGGTTTTCACGTGCCGGGCCCTGGGAGGCGTTCCTCGTTCGACACTGTTTCGATACTGTTCTCTGGGCGCTCGAAGTGCTGTCTGGGATGCGGTCCTTGAGCACGGTGGGAGCAGCATCAGTATGGCCGTACATCGCTCGTGGTTCGCCCCCTCCCCCCCTCCGAGGTCGTGGGCACGGGCGGCGTGCTGTTTTTTTTTGGGGGGGGGGTGTTCGAGCGCTCGTGGCCTCGCGTGGAGGCCGCTCCTCGGGTCCCGGGGACCCGTCGGGCAGAATCAGCCCTGACACGAACGAACAACACACCGGGCGCATTCCACGACTCGCCAAGTGACTGCTCGCAGACGTCCGGAGAAGGTCGCTCGCCTCGATGGAGCAGGTCGCAGAGGCTCCTCGGCGGAGCACTATGGAAGAATAGTGCAGGGAACCGGGAACCGGGAACCGGGAACCCGGGAACCGGGAACCGGGAACCGGGAACCGGGAACCGGGAACCGGGAACCGGGAACCGGGAACCGGGAACCGGGAACTGGGAACCGGGAACCGGCACTATGGAAAAATAGGGGGGAACCGGGAACCCGGGAACCGGGAACCGGGAACCGGGAACCGGGAACCGGGAACCGGGAACTGGGAACCGGGAACAGGGAACTGGGAACCGGGAACCGGGAACCGGGATCCGGGAACTGGGTACCGGGAACCGGGTACTGGGAACCGGGTACCGGGAACCGCGGGAACCGGGAACCGGGAACCGCCGGTACCCGGAACCGGGAACCGGGAACCGGGAACCGGGAACCGGGAACCGGGAACCGGGAACCGGGAACCGGGAACCCGGGCACCGGGCACCGGGAACCGGGCACCGGGAACCGGGAACCGGGAACCGGGAACCGGGAACCGGGAACCGGGAACCGGGAACCCGGGAACCGGGAACCCGGGCACCGGGAACTGGGAACCCGGGAACCGGGCACCGGGAACCCGGGAATCCGGAAACCCAGGAATCCGGGAATCCGGGAACCGGGAACCGGGATCCGGGAATCGCTTCTGTTCCGCTCATTTCTGTTCTGTCGTACCCCGCTGCTCCGTTCGGTTCCGTTCTGTCCCATTGTTCCGTTCTGCTCTTGTCTTGGCTGCAGGTTTGTCTGTTCTGTTCCGGGCCGCACCATCGTCCGTTTTGATCTGGCGTGCCCCGCTGCTTCGTTCTGGTCTGCTCGTTCTGTTCTGCTCGTTCTGCCCCGATGCTTTGTTCTGGGCTGTCCCGCTGCTCCGTTGTGTTCTGTTATGTTCCTCTGCTCCGTCCTATTCTGGTCTTGGCCGCAGGCTCGTCTATTCTGATTTGGGCCGCAAGCTCGTCTGTTCTGTTTTGTTATGTCCTGGTACTCCGTTCTGTTATGTGTGTATGTGTTTTTACAGCTCTTGCTGATAGGTTTCTAGTGGTCTCAAAAAAGAGCATCATGACTCCTTAGGGGGGTCTGGGCGGGTGCCGGGGAGGAGAACCGGGAATCGTTTTTCGCCAACAATCACACACTTCGTGCTCTTCGACCTCCCAGAACTCTACTCCCGGGCTACATTCTGGAAAACCGGGAACAGAGCCGGGCTCGCTTTTCGCCAACAGTCAC